TCTTATTCTATTTCTATCTCTATTTCTTTCCTCTCAAATTCTTTCCAACACTTACCAATCGATTCTCACACTAAATTGCTAAATGTCTAAAATGCCCTTTTTACTCTAATTCCCCGAAAACTCTCCGAATCGGTAAAAATAGATAAAATAAGCAAACACCACATAATAATATATAATTTTCTCAATTTAAAACAAACATCAATTAAATAAATTAAAAGACTCAACAATTAATGGGAATTCAGAATCGGGGAGTTACAGAAGGTGTTTCTAACACTTAGCATTTTTCTAGAAACTTTTCCAACCTCTCTTCGACTCAGGCTTCATCAAAGCTAGGTCGAAGCCTTCTTATGTTTTAAAAATAACATTCTTATTTGAGATACTTCTGATTTTGCTGGCGTCGAAAATGAGAGCTAACACAGTTTTAGGCAGGACCCTCATAATCTTTGCATTCTACTTAGTTTTTAAGGTAGCATAGTAGTAGGAATTATTCCCATCACCTAACCTAAGCCACTCAAACTTTTATCTTTGCATCATCATCTTTTCCTCTAATTCATTCTACTTGATAACATCCTCTGTGCACCTCTTAACTAACTAAATCTTCTAACTGTCCAATTTATTGTGCATGAGATTTTGCTGAGCTACCTCAAGATCTTGTCTAGCTTTCACTAGGTTATGCTTCACATTTGAGATGGACTTGCTAAAAGCCTTCAACTAAGGTTTGGAACCTTCTGAGTTTATGCCAAAGAACACACATTGGGTTGCCTCTTAAGGGTTGTCTCCAGCTATTGCTAACCATATTCTCACAGCCAACCATATCAACCATACAATTGTAGAATTTGAATTTACCTTTGTAATTCTGCCCTTTAGCCAATCCTATCACACAGAGAAGTGCATGATCAGAAACACTTGGGGGAAGGATATTTAGAGTAGTGTCCATGTTATCTTGAAACCATTATACATTCCCCATAACCCTTTAATTCTAGATTAAATGGTGCCCACAACATGCTTATTAGATCATGTGAAATAGTCTTCAATGCTATCCATTTCACATAATCCTGTGGTTGCCATCATGTTCTGCATTTTAACATAACCAGCCCAGTTACAATCTTCCCACCAATCATATCTTGAGCCTTGGTAACATTAATGAAATCACCAAGCACGCACCAAGGCCCTTGTTGACTCTTGTACAGGGTCTCAATATCTTTCCAACGCAATCTTCTACATTCCAAATGATTTTATGCATATAAAGTTGTTATCCAGTACTTAAACACTCTAAAGGTATCAAATCCAAAGCATAAACTGATAAGTTCTCTTTATATGCTTGACATTCATCTTGGTATTATCTCATTCGTTCCAAATCCTACTATTATCACTATACTGGTAATTGTCAAGATATCTACCTTTGAGATTCAGCTTATCTCTAACCACATTGGTTTTATATTGCTTAACTCTAGTCCCAATAAAAAAAATAATCTCAAGTTTCAACTTTAGGAGACAGGAGCTAATATCCCCAAGTTTTCATTCCTTATTCAGCCCCCTTACATTCCATGAGACTAACATGGTCCCTTGTCAAAGGCCACTAGGGGATCACTCAAAACCCCTAGTGCCTCAAATCTATTTTCACAACTGACCATAGATGTTGAACCAACATAAGTTATTTTCTTACCTTTCTCTCTAGTGGCTTTTCTTACCCTTGTCCAGTTCTCCCCACAATCATCATTATGATGCTTTGGATCCTTCTTTGGTGTCATAGTAGTAGGGCAGTATCCTTGTTGATATCAAGTGGCTTAGGATTTGGCTTCTATTGTTTCCCTTTTATAGTTGCACCACATTGATGGCCCATTTTTCGGCACTTCTCACAATAAAAAGGATTCCACTCATATTCAACAACTTGTTTCATTTTCCTTCCTTTACTATCTTTGATGGTTACTTCCTTAACCAATGTCTGTGTAATATCAACCACAACCAAAATGCATGCGTAAGATACTCTCAACTTGTTTGTGGTACATTCATCTGTGACCATGAGAGCTCCAATAACACTACCAATTTTACTCAGGCTTCTTGCTCCCCAAGGTGCAATGGGAGTTGTGGGAGTTTAACCCAAAGAGAAAGTGTTCTCAATAGGTCCCTCTTTAGGTTAAAACCAGGTCTCCATTCTTTCAACAATATCGGCACGTTCCTTATTGTATACGATCACTTAATCATAACAACATCCATATTTGAATTGGATTTGAATATGAGGAGAAAGTAACCTTCATCATGCTAATACATGCCCGACAATTTGACAAAGTTCCACGCCTTCGTCATGTAATTATTCATTGTGTTCATGCTTAGATCCTCACCTAGAACATACATGACCAAAGCTGTTTTCCAGAATTTGATATTCGCCGCAATGTAGTCTTCCTCTATTTCAATTTCTACTTATCCATTCACCAAGGTTGGTGCAACATACTCTATCACCAATCCCTTTGTCGAATTTGATTCTTGTTGAGTACATCAACCCAAAACTTTTAAGCCTCAGGATCCACCTTCATTCAGATTCTAGGTTTTCATCTTCCACCACTCTTTCATCTATTGATTTCTCATTTCTATTACTACTATTCTCTTCTATCATAATCTAATTTGAATTCTCCTTATCCAGTTGCGTCGACATAGAAGAATAATTTGCCAGTGACGACGACACGTGGTTTTTGGCGGCCCACGTCCCCGTTTCGCTCGCGTCCTCATCATATCACAACGCGTATGACATATTATTATAGTAACATGCTTCATCAATTGGTGGTCCTAATATGAACATGTCAGAGGCTTTAAGTGCAAACAATATTTCTACGCCTGAAGCTCAACCAAATTATTATTATTATTATTATTATTATTATTATTATTATTGTTGTTGTTGTTATTGTTATTAATTTTATTATTATTATTACTATTTTTTTAATTTTAATTTATATTTATATTTTATTTTTATTTTTATTATTATTATTATTATTATTATTATTATTATTATTATTATTATTATTATTATTATTTTTATTATTCCACAGCAACACCTTCATCAGAGGCTTTGTTGCTGGGAAAAAAACTAGGGCATTTCTTTTCATTAAATTGAACGTTGGAAAGGGTTCCTCCGATGCTGGTGCCGACGACGAAGAACGTTGATTTAGAAATTCAGACATTCTAGACTCCACTCCACTCAAACTTCTTAAGACTTCAGTTTTTTGGTATACAATATTGTGAAAACATATGTGTTTGCAGTTGTATTTATAAAAAAATAAAATACGGCGTGCCCCTAATGATATGTCTTAAATACCCTTACAAAGAGTTTAGGGTTTATGGTATAGGGTTTACGGTTTAGGATTTAGGGTTTATAGTTTAGGGTTTACGGTTTAGGATGTAGGGTTTAGGGTTTAAGGTTTAGGGTTTGTAGTTTAGGGTTTAAGGTTTAGAGTTTAGGGTTTAGGGTTTATGGTTTAAACCTATTTATATTTATTGTGTTTAAAAATTATATTTAAATCAATTTTTATTTTTTATTTAGATTCATTTATAATTTAAAATTTTAAAAATATTTAAAATTTAAAAACAATATTTATTATTTAAATCACTTTAAATCAATAAAATTATTTTAATCACAAATATACTTATTATTATAAATTTAATTAAACCTAAATCAATTTACGTTTATTTATATTATTAAACTATGATTATTAATCTATAAAATTTATAACAACATAATTTAATTAAAATGTATCAATCTATATAAATATATAAATTCAACCTATTTATACTTATATATTTTTTATTTAATTTAAATTTATTTATTTTTTAAATAATTTAATTTGAATTTTATTATTTTTTTAATTTTTTAAATTAAAATAAAAAACCTAAATCCTAAAAAGAAAAAAAATAAATTTTGAGGTGTAGCCAAACCAATTGGCGACTCCTTGTTGGCTAGCTAGGCAATGTCGTCAACTCAAAGAGCGAGTCTACCTGAATTGGACACTGTTGCCAATTGGACTGGCGACCCAATGCTGAAACTTAACCATTCTCATAAAATTTTTGATATTTTATTTTGTTTGGTATTTTTATTAAAAAACATTGTTATTATAAAAAAAATTCTATTATTGTTATTGTTTTTAATTTTATTATTATTATTATTATTATTATTATTATTATTATTATTATTATTATTATTTATTTATATGATTATTTTTATTATTGTTATTATTTATATTATTATTATTATTATTGTTATTAATATTATTATTATTATTAATTTTATTATTATTATTATTATTATTATTATTATTTATATTATTATTATTTATTATTATTATTACTACTATTATTATTATTATTATTTATTACTACTATTATTATTATTATTACTATTATTATTATTTATTTATTTATTTAGTTATTTATTCATTTATTCATTCATTCAACTTCATTACTGTCATTATTCCTGCACTATGGATTTACGCAAAAAAAATTGATCAAAGCTTCAATTCTTTCTATTTCAATATCTAAAGCTTTGTAAATATAAAGAGATAAATTCTTTGTTTAACATATTAAAGAAAACATTTATTTATTTAGAAAAAATGAAAGAAATGGACTTTTTTTTTCATTTTATTATAACAAAGTTTAATTTTCATTTTTTATAGTTAATTATTGTTTTTAATTACAATAATTAATTAAGAGTGTAATTTTCACTCTTTTATTTAATTGATTTAATAAATAAGTTATAATAAATAAATTATATAATTAATAGTTTCTTGACAAATTTTTGGATGACAATAACTATTTTAAAACAAAGGATCTATTGTCAATTCCTTAAATCATTATTATTCCCTCTTTACTATTTTTATTCTTTCTCTTCTCACACTCTTTCTCACAAATTTCTCTCTTTTATTCTTCTCCTCACATCCAAGCAAGAGACCCAACTCTTTGGAATTTGTCCATAAATTAACAGTCTCTTGTATTCCACTGCTATCTAATTCAACATGGCTTCTTCTTCTACCACCAAAGTGTCCCTGAAGCTTCTCATCGACACAAAGAATAACAAAGTTCTCTTTGCCGAAGCTTCAAAATCTGTGATAGATTTTCTTTTCAACTTACTTTGCTTACCTATTGGTACCGTAGTTAAGCTCCTAGGCACAAATGGCATGGTTGGTGGCTTAGGAAATCTGTATCAGAGTGTCGAGACTCTCAACCAAAGTTACATGCTATCAGACCAATCTAAGGATGTTCTCTTAAACCCAAAAGCTCAATGCTCCTCAACAGAAATCTCTGGCTTCCTTACCCATAATGATGACAAAGACGATACTAAAGAAGGAATTAAGTTATACATGTGTCCATATAGATGTCGTCATGAGGTAGCATATGATGCTTTTGCGCATGGTACATGCGGACATAGTATGACCAATGAAGTAAATTGTATTGGAAATAAGAAGGTTGCTGAAAAGAAAACCTTTTCCAATATCAAGAGTGGTTTTGTGAAGGATGTTGTAACATTTATGGTGATGGATGATTTGGTGATTCAACCAATGTCAACAATATCTAGCATCACTCTTTTGAACAAGTTCAATATCAAAGAAATTGGTACTTTGCAAGAGAAGAATGTAGAAATGGGAATGGATGAGGTAAAATCAACCAACTTAAACATGTCTACAATTTTCTGAATTGTTTTATTTTAAAGATTTGTATGTTTATTTTTGTAACAGGGTATCAAGTTGCTTAAGGCTTCTCTGCAATCCAAAATGGTCTTGACAAGTGTTTTCCTCGAGAAAGAATTAGATTTGCATGGAACTGTGTGACGAGTTTTAAGTATATTCAAAGTATTAAGAAGGAACAATTTGTTTTTTTTCCTAGTACTTAATAATTTGTATGCAATGTTTTCTACTTCGTGAGCTGAATGATCAAGTCTATGAACTATTAAGTTTCATCAACATATTCATACTCTTTCACGTTTCCTCTCACAAGAGAAAAAGTTTCTCTCTCAGCATCACTGGTTCCCTCATCAAGTATTCATACTTTTTTTTTCAAACAAACTCGACTTCGAATAGTCTCAGCTGCGGAAAAAGAACTAAAACGCCATGCAGATTCCATTAAGCTACTAAATACAAACTTCCCAATCTGCACAATTCTTCGAGAATATATCCAGAATTTCTACTTTCTGAATCATTAATAGTTCCAAATTTAACCTTCATACATTCCAAGACATGCTCAACCACATTGAGATAAAATATATATCAGGTTTGATGCTAGCTCAACCGCATCCAGGACAACTCCTTCATTTCTTCAAACATTTTATCCAAATATATTTTGATATTATGAAATAGTTTTCCATTTCTTGCCTTCCAAATGTTTAAGATGCAAGCAAATTAAACCACGACCACTCGATGGGAAAATGATTTGCCACTGTCTATCAATCTCATGAACTTATTGAAATGCAGTTGTTTACCTTAGAAAATAGTAAATAATCCTTGGTCTCTAAATATATAGTTTACTAGCAGGAGATGGGTGGGAATAACATGACAATAAGTTTTTAAATTTTATGCAAATGTAAAGTAAAAGGAATAATACTTAAACTATTTAAATGGGAATTAAAGGCTAAGAAAAAAAGATGAAAATGAAAAAAGCAACGTAAATCGAATGAATTATGAAACTTTGTATTAAACAATAAACATGATGTTTCATCTGTGCTTACATTCTTTTATACTTTAATAACACATCACTCCACTAACTTGGACAGCTCATCAAAGGAATTGATGAGTCTCTTTCATTTTTCCTTGTAAATAAATCATCTTAAAACCTTAAATACTTTTCCATCATCTTCTTCAATTATGTTGTTGTGAAAAATGATGTCTTGAAACAAAGTATAAACAGTTTCTTTATGATCAAGAAACACACAATTGTTAAGGTTAGCGGAAAAAACAAGAAGAAACACAACAAAGATTGACTATAACTGCTATTCTTTACTTTCTTTTTAAATCAAATTACAAATACTCAAGAATAACAAATAACCGTCTTATCTTAATTAGGATTTTCCACACTTAAGATGAGAGACTAGTATGCTATTTATAATAAACCTAACATACTAAACAAATGAACTTTTTAACAATTACTCATTACAAGCTAACATATGGTACAAGCTAACTTAAGCAATTAAACATAATAAACAGACCAAATTTAACAACTACATACTAGAACACATTTCGACTACAACATGTAGGTCTTCGACAACAACATGTGAGCAGACTTCGACGGCATGCTAAACTAGAGTTCGATCCAATATCTCACAAATCTCCGCCTTGGATCTAACTCTATAACATCAAGAAACGAACTAGTTTTCTTCATGCAGCTCTATCAACTGCATATAGTGAAAAAACTTATAACTGAGTAACGTCTTGGTGATCATATCAGCAGCATTATGATGTGTCGAAACCTTCAGCACTTAGACTTTTCCGCGCTCAATTACCCCTCTGAAAAATGAAGCTCCACATCAAAGTGCTTGGTACGCTCATGATAGGATGAATTCTTTGACAGGTGTATTACACTTTGACTATCATATTTAATAGTGACAACTCGACCTTGAAGTTTCAGCTCATTTGCAAAATCTTCAAGCCATAATGTTTCATTCACAACTTTAATTAGGACGATATATTACGCTTTAGTAGTTGGTAACGCAACAACCTTCTGAAGTGCTGCTTTCCAACTGATTGATGTGTCAAACATAATGAACACATATTCGAAAATAGATTTTTTGGAGCCAATACAACCTGCATAATCAAAGTCGACATATCCTTGATTGCTGCTTTACTATCTTCACCCGAGGCTCCACCATAAATTAAGAGTCTATTCAGAGACCCATTTATATACTTTAGAATTCACTTCAATACTTGCTAGTGAGCCTTTCGAGGATTCACTATGTACCTGCTTATAAAACTTACTGCACATGCTATGTCGGGTCTAGTATAGACCATAACATACATCAAAGAACCCACTATATTAATATATGAAATGCTATTCATATAAGCTCTTTCAACATCAGTACTAGGACACTGATCTATACTCAGCTCGAATTAAGGGTTTGTCGGTGTCACAACAGGCTTTGAATTTGACATACCATACTTTTCGAGAATCTTCCTTAGGTATGCCTCTTGAGATAAGCATAATTTTGACTGCTTTCTATCTCTTCGGGGGTCAATCCCAAGAATCCTAGACACAGCTCCCAGATCCTTCATTTCGAACTTGTTATTAGGTTCAACCTTCAACCTCATTACCTCTTCGACATTGTTGTTTGCTATTAGAATATCATCCACATAAAGCAACAAAACAACAAATGAATTACCCGATCAAAATCTGAAGTAAACACAGTGGTCAAACTGACTTCTGATGAAACTTATGTGTGTCATGAACTTTTCGAATCTCATATTCCACTGTCGAGGAGGTTGTTTCAGTCCATATAAAGACCTCTTCAGCTTGCACACATAATCTTCCTTCCTCTTTTCGATATACCCTCCAGGTTGCCTCATCAAGATTGTTTCATCTAGATCACCATACAAGAACGTAGTCTTCACATCCATCTGCTCTAGTTCAAGGTCGAACTGTGCCACCGCGGAAAGCAACATTCGAATAGACCTATGCTTCACAACAAGATAGAAAACATCATTGAAGTCGGCACCTTCTTTCTGAATGAAACCTCTAACGACCGATATTTCTAGATCATGAGTAGGATAATTCCTTTCATGAATCCTCAATTATCGTGAAGCGTAAGCCACAACCTTGCCATCTTGCATCAAAACACCGCCTAATCCCATTTTAGACGCATCGCAATATACCACAAAAGGATCATTCAAATTTGGTAAGGTTAACACTGGTGCGGTAGTCAACCTTTTCTTCAGTTCTCAAAAACTTTCTTCACACAAAATATCCCATACAAATGTCTGGCCTTTTCTAGTCAATTGGACCAACGGAAGAGCCAAATTAGAAAAATCCTCGATGAACTTATGGTAATAGCCTGCCAATCCTAAGAGACTTCAAATCTCTGTCACTGACTCCAGAGTCTGCCACTGAAGCACAATACTCACCTTCAATGGATCCACTGTTATGCCTCCTCCAGAAATAACATGTCCAAGAAAACTCACTTCGCTCAACCAAAACTCACACTTCGAAAGTTTTGCAAATAATTTATTATCCTTCAGCACTTGCAATGCAACCCTCAAATGCTCTACATGATCTACTTCTGACTTGAAGTAAATCAAAATGCCATCAATGAAAACTACTACAAACTGGTCCAAATAAGCATGAAAGATACAATTCATGTACTCCATGAACACACCCGGTGCATTGGACATACCAAACAGAAATACTGCATATTCATAATGTCCATACCGAGTTCTGAAAGTTGTCTTCTGGATATCATCTTCTTTCACACGGATTTGATGATAGCCCGACCTCAAATCAATTTTACTAAACACACGAGATCCCACGAGTTGATCCATCAGATCGTCGATTCTTAGAAGTGGATACTTATTCTTGATGGTTACTTTATTCAACTGGTGATAATTGATGCAAAAGCGCATACTGCCATCTTTCTTTACTAACAAAATTGGCTCTTCCCATGGCGACACACTGGGTCTGATAAAAATTTTATCCAATAATTCTCCCAACTGAAATTTCAACTTTGCCAATTCTGACGCTGGCATTTTGTATGGTGCCATATATATAGGTCTGGTACCAGGGACAAGATCAATCATAAACTCTACTTCCCTCTCTGGAGATAACTCCACAACATCCTTTGTAAACGCTTCAGGAAATTCTCTCATAACAGGTAATTCCTTAATCGGCGACTTGCCCTCCATAGATAGCGAAGCGAACACTGCAAATACTTTAGCTTCATCTTCTACCAAGATTCTCAACTCCATAGTAAATATAAGACTATTTATTTCTTCTTCTTCAAGAGTCATGAATAACAACCTTTTCCTATAACAATCAATATTAACATAGTTGCTCTCGAGCCAATTCATCCCTAAAATAAAATCCAGTTCACTGAGCGGTAAAAAAAATCAAGTCCACTCCAAAATCCTTACCGAAGATCGACACAAGATAATTCAAACACACTAAAGATGTAGTGATTGACCAAATAGATGGAGTATCAATCACCATCCCTCTATTCAAAGTAGACGACACAAGCCCTAGTTTATTCACACAATCCACAGAAATAAACGAGTGAATTGCACCCGTATCAATAATAGCAATCAAATGAGCGTTATGAATGTAACACGTACCTCTGACCAAACGATCCTCACTGGTAGGCTGAGCTCCCACCAATGCAAACACCTTCCCACTTGTCTGAGACTTCTTCGAGTTTTGATAGTGGGTGCTAATATGACCCTGCTCACCACAGTTGTAACAGGTTGGTATGTTGGTTCTATAATCCGCGACCACATGACCTAGCTTTCCACACTTAAAACACTTATTCACCTCATTCTGACATTCATTCGCACGGTGACCTGCGCCACCACACCTGAAACACTTGAGAGGATTATAAGGATTTCCTCCCCTCCTTGGTTCCTTTCCCGCAACATCTTTCTGCTTTCCTTTATCAGCCGGAGCACGGTAAGGTGTATTCCCATGCCTCAGTTTGCCTCTTCAGTCACTTATATTCTTATATTGAGCGATTCTAGCTCTATTGTCTTCATTATAGATTATACACCTATTCACCAGCTCAGGGAAGTACATGATCTTCTAATAACCGACACCCAGTTTGATCTCGAGATGCAACCCGTTCTCAAACTTGACGCACTTTGAA